TTTTTTGCGCTTTTTTTTTTTTTTTTGGTCTTCTCTTTCCGTGTTCTTCTGCAACCAGCTATGGGAAGCTAGGGCTTGGTAGTTCGAGCCTCGGCAAGGCTCAGCATACCGGTCGGCCGAGGCTCGGACTGGATAGCTGGTCCAAGTACTGGTGGCTTAACCAATAGGCTATAAGTGGGCAGGGGGTGAAAGTGAACCCCCAAATGAGTACTTCACCCTACCCCAGCACGGGTTGCTCTGTGACACGGTGTACCCAACAACACCCATCCCATACGTCTCATAACCACACATCCGTTGTGCAATCTCTATGGCGGTTACTACGTGGACCGCGGGCATGGCTGTAACCGAAGGGAGATGGGTGGGTGGGTGTGAGGGAGGGCGTGGCGATCAAGTCTTCGGTTCACCAAACATGAGTGGCTTCCTCGGTTGCTTCCCTACGTGTCGGTCTATGCCGGCATCCGTGTTGCTGGTACTGCAGGGAGGAAGTGTAGAGGGTGTGTGTGTTGCTGCTTCGCGACCCAGCTTAACCATGCTGATGTCGTTCCCAGCTTCGCCATGGTTATGCGGAATTCCAGTTGAGCTTAGTCACAGTTATGCCGAGCCCTATACCGGAAAGCTTTTGTGTCGGCTTCGTTATTGTCACCAGGTTTAGCAGGCATCGTCTCCCCTATCAAAAAGGCTCAGCGAGGTCGGTCGCTTCAGGAGGGTTTCGTCGTTGCTTTTCCACGCACAAGGCGCTACCACGACGTGACTTTCTTCATTCCAATCGGAATACAGAGATTTGAGATCAGCACGTTGAAGGTTGGTCACCAGAAAACTGGTTTCTTTTGGCTGGCCAGAGAGAGTTGTGACCAACACGAAAAACATGCTGCACACTTGACATGCGTAACGTATCACAATTCATTGGTTTATCATGGAGACGACTTTGGGCAAAAGAAATTCCCATGTTGTGACGGGCGGTGTGTACTTAGCCATTGTTATGCCGACCGAGCCATAGCCATGGTTATGCCGGCCCAGCCTAGGCATGTTTGCCTGCTAACTTATCAGGACCTCCGTACGTTTGCCATATTTTACGCTGTGTGCTCATCGCGTGCATGCTGTTTGCGGTTGTGTCTTTCTTTCTTTTCCTTTGTTTTTTTGGGGAAAAGGGAGGATAGATCACGGGTCCAATTCGTGATGTGACGATGGTAGGCGGGAAGGGTGAGTTGCTGGTATAATGGAGGGTGTTGGGTGAGGAACGCAGGATGCCACCTCTTTGTCCATGTTTATTTGCATTTGTAGGGTTGGGTTCATCAGTGTGTCTGAAATCTTCTGCAACGGTCGAAAGTCGTTTTGATGAACGTGAATGTGTAAATAGATCGAGGTGAATTTTCTGTATTCGGGGCATTTTTCTCGGCAGGTACAAAGTTGGTGTCTCCGTACATATGCCCAATTCAGGGTCGTGTTGAGTCTGTATGCTTGTCCTCTGACCAGATGCAATGAATCGTTCTGCAGTATGAGGTGGGACTGCTGTTATCATTACAGCTTGTGGTCCAGTCTTCAAGGGGTTCTGAATTTCGAATTTTGGATTTCGAATTTTGGGATGTTGAATTTTGGGATGTTGAATTTTGGGATGATGAATTATGAATTTTCAAAAGTTTTCAAACTTTTTGAAATCCTGAGTTTTTGAATTTGTGAATCATCAGTTCCTTGTATGCGGACTGTGCCATTGAATGGTACACGCTCAAGTAATTGTTAGCGAGTAGATAGATCATGAGTCGGAATCCTGATGGAATCAGAGTCTTCAATGCCTTTGTGAGTTTTTTTTCCCGAATGATATAGCACTCTTGTTGTATTAACGGAGGGCATCTCCATCTCCATCAAGTTCTTACTGCTGTGTGTGTGTGTGTGTGTGTGTGTGTGTGTGTGTGTGTGTGTGTGTGTGTGTGTGTGTGTGTTTTAAGTGGGTAGTGTCATTATGTGTTGGCATTGTTGAGGTATCGGAGAAGCCAACGAAAGTAACTAAACAATGTAGAAAGTGGCTTTTCCTGATTCCGAGGTTTGCCACTTATGCTCTATCTATCTCGTTGTGATTGGGCGATGGTCTTTGCTGAGGGACTGTATGTGGAGGGAACTGATTGAGGGGGGTGGAGTTTTTTTTTGTTGTGATATCTGTATATATTGTTGTGTTGTAAAGAAAGACACACTCATGGAGATGAGTTTCCATATTCCCAACTCCAACAAGGCTTTCAGCGGCGACGAAGAACGCTCTGCAGCACAGGTACTTTCTCTCTCTCTCTCTCTCTCTCTCTCTCTCTCTCTCTCTCTCTCTCTCTCTGTGTCCTTCTCCCGCTTGACTGCTATTGCTGTCTTGCCCCTCCCTCCCTCTCTTACCTCCCAACAATGTTTCATTCTTGGAATGAATGAAGAGGCCCTTTTCTGAATCCCATGCCATGACTTTTTTTTGCGTAGTTTGCATCATTTCCCGATTTATGTGTGTCATCCTTGTGCAGGGGCCATGCTAATTAGTCTTCTCTTTATCACCCTCATTCTTTTAATGGATGTCCCGAATGACAATGCCATGCCGTCCTTGTTTGCAAGACAGATGTGTTCCATTGAAGATAGTGCACAGATGTGTTCTATTCAGCATGACATGTGATAGCTCCTTTTTCTTTCATCTGCTTTGAAAGCCATGTTGAATAGAACACATCTTATGCACTATCTTGAATGGTATTATAAATTATAATAATAAATTAATAATATAATCCAAATATATTTTCATTTAACGATATTATTCTAATCCAACTTTTCAATTTAATGATATTACAACCCGAACAAAAATTGCTTGCTCTTGTGTCTATTAACCAGCGTCTCATGTCACATTCCCATTGCCTGCGGCACTCAAAGGGTCTTGCCACGCAGTACAGGAAACTAACGACAGTCGTTTCGTTTCATCACCGCCACACAGCCCCGCGATTCTCTCATGCAAAAGGGATGGTGAGGTGTGACATTCTAGCCGAAGTCGTGTGAAAATAGTTTCATTTTCTGTTCCTGAGCCCTCGAGGCTTCGAGGAAATGAAAAGGGCAAAATAGAAATGGACAACCTTTGGAGGCATTGATTGCAGCATTCTGTACGTCAGCTCGAGCAACAAAGGTTCAGAAACGAACATCGATGGAGTAGATCAAATTGACGTGGAATTGCACAACCAACTTGCAGAAAGCTCATTCTTGCCACCTTACTCATCGGATGAAAGCTTCCCAAATGCCCAAATGTTACGTAATATAATTATAATTGACGATGTATATATCGCCAAACAGAGTAGATATTACCCACAGTCTGTAGAGTTTTCCATCTGGTGAGGGTGAGTGATAGTCTGCTTGGATTTTTGTCACAGGTACCTTGCGGGCAGTGGTTGGTGGTCCCCACCTCCTCAGAGGGGTATCAGTTGTCGCGCAGTCGTTGATGCTTGACAACAACCGGGGTTAAGGTGGATTATCACTTGCAGTGTAATCAGTTAGGGGATTCTGCAGACCGTTGAGGGTTCAGCCTCCTGATGAGTCAGTTGGTGAAACTCCGACGAAACAGTTTGTCACAGCCCCTTGTTTGTTGTCCGCTTCTCCCTCTCTGCGTACGGTTTACCGGGCCCTGGGCAGACCTCCGTACGTACAGGCGTTCGGGGTTCCGTTCGGGGTCCGAACGCGATGGCGTTCGGCCACCGCCAAAAATTATTTCGAGGCCTAAAAATACTTTTTTTTCTGAATTTTTTTTTTGTGCGTTCTCTATGACGTGAGGTACACGCCTATAAATTTTCAAGTCATTTGGCTCAGCCAAATAAGGATTAAAAATCGCCAAAGATGGCGGTGTCAAAACGTGCTTGCCCACGTTTTTTTTCACTTTTTACTTTTTGTTTTCACTTTAGTTCGGGGTCTAAACAATTTTATTATTTTTTGAAACTTTTTTAGTGTGTTTTGCATTATGTGAAGTACACATATCATAAATTTTCAGGGCATTTAGCTATTCCAAAAAAAAATGAAAAATCGCCAAAGATGGCGGTGTCAAAAACGTGCTCGCGAACTCACTAAATTTAGTTCTTTTTCTTTTTTGTTATTTTTATTATTAGTATTTCTTTTTCGTAATTTATTTTAATTTCAAATTTGGCAAGCAATTTGGATGTAATGTTCAGGCAAACCTTGTTTAGTTTATTTTTCTTCATAACATATCTTTTTTTCAGATTTTTGTGATTTTTTTTTTGGGGGGGGGGCACAACTGTTATTCGGAATGACTAGGTGTGAAGGGCATGTAGGCGGTGAACTAGGGCCGGAGCGGTGAAAGTTGCCAGCTCAACTGGTGGAATGCCTTCAAAACCGGTTTGCTGGAGTAAGATAGAGGAAACCTCCCTACCTCTGGATACCTCCAACACGGAAGTGAAGATGAGCGTGGTCATGTCCGCCATAGCCAGGGCTTGACAGAGCTCCACATCACCCACCTCTCTATCGCCGACCTCTTGCACCGGCAGGACGAACCCAACAGCCAAGTGAAGACGAACATGGTCCTGTCTGCTGTAGCCAGGGGGGTGAGGGGAATGCTAATCATCTCTTTATTGTTCCAATTTTAATGAATGCCCCTAAGGACAGGACAGAACTGCCCCCCGTTGGCCCTAATCGCCTGCGGGTAAACTGTGCTGAGGGCCTGAACTTTTCCCAGCAATTCTCAAAGCAATGGCTATGGCTTTGTTTGACCCTGAATTGAGATGTAGAGTCCCTATCTATAACCTAACAAGCTATACAGACTAAATTCCGCTTACTCATCAGGGCCAGGGCTCGTCCTGATGCAAATAAGGATGTCTTTCTCCACCAATAATGAGTGAAAGGATAAGGCGTTTTCACTTTTTACAGAAATAGGAACGTGGGGGATGAGAAACAAGTGCTAATAGAGGTCACTGACTCCTGCTCCTCCTCATCCTGTTTCGCTGCTGATGCCTGCTTCTCCTCCTCCCCCTCCCGCTTGTCCTCGTCCTTCTTCTCCTCCTCCTGTTCTCCTCTTCCTGCTTCTACTCCTCCTCCTGTTGTTTCTTCCCCTCCCCCTTCCCCTCCCTCTCCTTCTCCTTCTCCTCCTGTTCCTCCTCGTCCTCCTACTTTCCAACCCCCTGCTCCCACCCCCCTTTTCCTCCTGCTCCTCCTCCACCTCCACCTCCACCTCCTGCTCCTCCTCCACCTCCACCTCCACCTCCTGCTCCTCCTCCACCTCCACCTCCACCTCCACCTCCATGTCCGGCTTCTCCTCTGTTATCTTCCTGGTACTCCTCTTCCTGCATCCTCTTGTCGACCCTACTGCCGCTCTTTCTCTGCTTGCTATTGCGGTGATGACATGCAGGTGTTCTACGAGAGGCTCCTCGAAAGAGCAGATGTTGGTCCTGCCCAAGGGGAAGCCGTTGCGACATTCCAAGAAGTATTTATCCTCACACCCAGGTAAGGGTCTAAGAAATGCTGACAGCCGCAGGCTCGACTCCCATGACCCTTCGACACACATCTTCTCTGCTCTGCGTTGTCGGTGGGTTTAAAGAGGGGCATGTACAGTGCCTTAAAATGTTGGGAGGGAAATCTTGCATGTGTCTGTCAGATGGACTTTTTGTACCTGGCGGTGTGACATCTTCAAAGTTGTTCCCTGCTGTATTGCGATCCCTGGCATGT